AGAACTTCAATTTATACACATATTTTCAGGAATATATTTTATAAATTGAAACAGTCTTTGTTTTAAATTAAATTTTTTTTTCAATTACAGTTGACACACAATATATTAGTTTCAGGTCAAAAACACAGTGATTAGACATTTATATAACTTTTGAAGTGATCACCCTGATAAGTCTAGTTCCCATCTGACACCATCCATAGTTATTACGATATTATTGACTATATTTCGTATGCTGCACATTACGTCCCCTTGACTGTTTTATAACTGGCAATTTGTACTTCTTAATCCCTTCATTTTTTTCACTCATCTCCCCAACCCCCCTCCAATGTGGCAACCTGAAATACAGTCTTTAAATATTACTGTTTGTCATTTATACCTGTTTAATTGTGTTCATATGCTGCTTCTCTGTTTCTGTTCTTTTTTTTAGTTCTTCTCTTAAATTGTCTTTTTCTGAACAAATGTCTAAGATCAGCTCCTGATGCTTCTTATTTTCTTTAATTAACCTAAACATAAAAAGGGCAGTATAAGTAAAACAATTTTAAAAGGAGATGTGGAATATAATCTATTTACAGATTAGGTTGTAGATACTTACGTATTAATTAATAAATCAACATTTTGTATACTTTGCAACACATTCTCTGGCCAGTCAGGCTATTAACTTTTTCCCAGAAATGTGTATATTTAAAAAAAAAAAAAAAAGTAAGATAAAGAAAACCATACTCTCTTAAGTTTATGTCTTTGGGTATCTCAATTATGCACTTCATCCCTTCAGCACTCGAACCCCTTCAGATCAGTGATTCTCAATCAGGAGCGACTCTGCCCCCCCAGGCACTTGTCTAGAGACATTTCTGGTTGCCACAACAGGGGTGGGGGTTACTACTGGCTTTCTGCAGTGAGGGCCAGGGATGCTGCTGAACATCCAAAAATGAACACGACAACCTGCCCCCAGCAAAGAATGATCTGCCCCTAATGTCAATAGTGCTGAGTTAGGAAATCTTTAGATTTTTAAGGACACTTTATTCTAATAGTTATAGAAGAGTAGTCAATATAAAATAAAATTTTAAGCAGAAGTTTCATTTTCGGTACCCTGGAAAACTATAAGTAAAACCTTAAAAATTACCTGCAAAGTACTTAGAACTATAAAATACCTAAGAAGGTTAACAGCTGATATTTCAGAATGAATAGTAACAGCTATTACTTATCATTTACTGTACAATTACTATTTACTAAGTTTAACTTTAAGTGCATTATTTAATATTCAAGTCTATGAAATTAATGTCTATGAAATTATTACCTGCTTTATGGATAACCACAAAAAAACAACTAAAGTCTAGAACTTGTTCCAGGTCATTAAGTTAGTAAGTGGTTGAGCTGAGATTGGGATTCAAGTCTAATTTCATAGCCCAGGCCTTTCCATCTTCTACTTTGAAGATCTCTCACTCACCCAACAAATGTTTACTGGGTACCTACTATGTACCTACACTATTCTGTGTTTTAAGAGTATATCAGCAAACCGTCCCTGCCCATATGGAACTTACATTCTAAGGGAGAATATTAAAATAAACAACAAATAGATATATAAGAAAATGTCAGGTGGTCATTAAGTCCTATTACAAATACAAAACTAAAGGAGGGCAGGAGAACAGAGAGAACGAGCTGTGATTTTAGAAAAGGTAGGCCTCTTTAAGAACCACAGAAATGTAGTGAGGAAGCAAGGCCTGCAAGTGTTTGGGAAAGAGAAAAACAAGCATGCAAGTTTATTCAAGCCTTTTGTGTCAGAGCAGTTTCACTCAGATTACTTATATGATGATTAAGGTGTTTACTCAATTTGCTGCAGAAACACAAGAGTTCTGGCTATATATAGTGCATAAGTAAACAATATAGAGAGGAAGGAGTGAAGAGCAGAAAGCCCTCAAATTGTTATCTTATATGCCAAATGGGCATCCTATCCACAAACTGTTCTAAATTAACAATTCAGGTTGGTACATTGGACAGTAATATTGCTATTAGAAAACAGGGCAAAGGATGTACAAAGACATTTACTTGGAAATAGATGCATTCATGAAAACTTAAGCCAAAGAAACTGAAAGGCAATTCATCTTTACAGAACGTTAGATGAAGGCAAAAGGAAAAAAATTAGTTTTTTTAGAGCTAACCTGAGTCACAAAGCATGTAATTTGGAATTAAAAATATTATGTGTATAACAAAAGATTAACTTAGATTTCAAAAGACAGTATCTGATATTTTTATAATGCCTTAACATCCACAAAACAATCCCATTAGGTAAGTTATCATCTCCCACTCATTAGGATGAAAAACCTTTGGCTCAGAGAGGTTGATTTGGCCAGTGAAACACAGCTTGCTAATGGCAGTGAGAATTTTCCAACTCTGGGCTTCTGACTAGAATTGTGCTTACTCTAGTCCACCATGCTGCCACTGTTCAGATAGCATAGAGTAAAAAAAATTAAATTAATCTAAAAATATTAGGAATATAGTGGAAAATTGACAACTTGTAACTAGTTCATTTCAGATAATCATATTAAAAATCCTCTGAAGCTAATTAGGCTCAGATTTTAACTTTGCCATTTACTAGTATGTGACCTTGAACAAACAAACTGCTTAATCCATTTGCGCTTCAGGTCCCTCATCCGTAAAATAAGAACAGTAATAGTTCATACTACATAGGGTTTTTGTAAGGATTCTATGAGTTAACATATGTAAAGTTCCAGGCACAAAATGAACAGCATGTAAGTGTTTGATGCTTTTATTATTAAATGTATAACATCTTGTAATTTACAAGAGAGGCATGAAGTGGTTAAGAGTCCAGATCTAAGGCAAGAGGGAAGAGGCATCAGAAATAATCTCAAAGGGAAGGTCTAAAAGAATACAGAGAGCAGGAAAATGAGGAAGTTACCCTAAAAAATAAGAATGGCAGAAATACTGACATTTCAAGTACAAAGTCATATAGTTTATTCATAATGGAAGCATTTCAGTAAGAATATGAGTAGGAACAGCAGCCATTAGGCTTTACATAGTATTAAAAAGGCATTGGAGCCAAGAGATACTTGTACTCATGTTCACAGCAGCATTATGCACAATAGCCAAAGGTGGAGGCAACTCTAATGACCATTTGATGGACGAATGCGTGAACAAAATGTGGTATATACATGCAATGGAATATTATTCAGCCTTAAAAAGGAATGGAATTCTGATAATGCTACAACATGGATGAACCGTGAGGACATCTAAGTGAAATAAGCCAGCAAATAAAGCAAATAACTGTGTGATTTTATTTATATAAAGCATCAAGGGTAGTAAAACTCTTAAAAACAAAGTACAATTGACCCGTGAACAGCTTAGGGGTTGGGGTATGGATCTGGTACAGTTAAAAACCCAAGTATAATTTTTCACTCCCCAAAAACTTAACTACTAACAGCCTAAGGTTGACCGGAAGCCTTACTGGTCACATAAGCAGTTGATTAACAGATATTTTGTGTGTCATATGCATCATATTCTGTATTCTTATAATAAAGCTAGAGAAAATAAAATGTTAAGAAAATCGTAAGGAAGCAAAAATACATTTACAGTTCTGTCCATATTCATTGAAACAATTCTGCATAGAAGTGAACCTGCATAGTTCAAACTCATGTTGGTCGAGGGTCAGCTGTACAATGGTGGTTGCTAGGAGCAGGGGAGAACAGGGGGTTGTTTATTAGGTACAGTTTCAGGTTTGCAAGATGAAAAAGCTATGGAGATCAGTTGCACAACGTGACTATAATATACTTAAAACTATGAGCTGTATACTTAAACGTGGTTAAGATCATAAATTTTATGTTATGCGTATTTTATCACAATTTGAAATAAAAATTTTAAAATAGGGGAAAAAAGGAGGGCTCTGGATGACAAGAGATTGAAGTTCATTGGCTAAACCAATGAAGGATGAGCTTGTTTGGGGAAGACTGATCCACAGAGCAAGATGATCTGGAAGAGCTAAGACAAGAAGCAAGCTGATCATTACAAGCCAGTTACATCTCCAGCAATATCTGCATTATGGTATATTTTCTTCTGTCATCCTCCTCCAGTATGTAGACTTCCTCCTCCTCTTTCTCCACACTCACTTCCCATTCCAAATTTTTTTTAAAGTTTCATTTTTTTAAAAAGAGAATCGGTCTGTATTTTAGTGAAGGCTAGCATGTTTTATTTCCCTTTCCTAAAGGTTATAAAAGAATACCTAAACATATGCATCACCTTCCATATGTGTATCTAAAATAAAAATACAGGGTGACATAATACTATTAGGAAATGATAAGGTGAAATCAAACTCGTTAAAATAGAAATTAACTCCACAAATCCAAGAAGTCTAAAAATAACTATGTTCTTATCTACTGAATGATAATCAACCAATTCTTCTGTTCTCTAAGTTTTAATTTTCTAAACCAATGAATTTACAATGGGGATTTTAAGAATAATTTCTTGAATTTTATGACTTTTCATTTCCTTGTGAATTGCTCTTAGACAATATTATGCTCTACATTCTTTCAAAACTGAAAAATCTGAGTTGTCTTTAGGAATATTTGAGATCTTTAATGAACTTACACTATTTAATAAACTATTCCTTAGACTTATATATTGACATGTAAAACAGAAATTCTGAATCATATTCAAAATATTGACTTTATATATATATATATATATATACCTATGTTTATATATATGCTAATGTATGACAGATATAATTTATAATATATATAAAAACACTGATGCATATCTATTATTTCTAAAACAATGAAAATAAAATACATTCTAAAAAAACAGAGATATTAAATAACTAGACAAACTTGACATCTGCTCAATTATTCAGTAAATACTATTTTTTGATCAACTACAATGTACATGGCTCTATTGTGAAATTAAAAGTGGACAGGATGGGATGGTATCTTCCTTTACAGAATGCCAGCTTTAATCCCCGTGGAAAAAAATAACCTGAAAGAATAAAAAACTTACTTCTTTATGGTGTGTTCCTGCTGCAAATACTTATCTTGCACACACTTTTCAAACATAATTAATGCATGTTCTCCCTTATTCATTCCATTTGGTACTTGGTGTTGTGCAAAATTCGTAGATAAGAGCTCAGATTCTATTTCTTCCAACAAATCCTCTGATGCTGAAACAGTCTTTATGTTTGAAATAAGTTTCTTGGTGCAGTCTGTGTCGTAGGGACTCTCTGAATAAGTTTTTTGACTAGTCGCTTCCGTGAATGTAGATGACCTTAATTCCTCCAATATTTGAGTTACTGTCTGTCTTGTTTCATTTGTTTTTGAAATTTGTTCTGTAAAATCACCACCAGGAAAATTAGCTGTTTGTTCTGAATTTTCTGGGCATATGTCTGTTTGAGCACAAGAATCCTCACCTCCACCATGATCTGCAATATAATTTTCCTGTGCTTCAGTTTGATTATTGTGTTCATTAGGCTTACATAAAGTTTTATCCAAGTTTAATGACAACAGTTTGGTCTCGTTTTCTAAGTTGCTGTTTTCATCACCAGAAAATGAGTTGCATGAATCTTCCTTTAATTCAGATGTTTTCCCAACATTTTTATCAGAGGAAATGGCGGCTATGTACTCTGTCTCTGACATGCTGACTGGTACCAATTCACTCTGCATTTCTTCAAATCTGTTCCGATCTTCGTTTTACATCTAAGAAAGTCAAAACATCAAAATTTTAAAAAAAAAAAGTTTTTTTTAAAACCAAGACACCATATACACTTGCATATATTCCGTGATGGGGAATAATTAAGGTCACAAATTTTACCGCTAATAATTCTTTCAAAAGCCATTTCTTGAGGAAAAAAGGAAAAGAATGGGACAGATAATCCAAGACACACAGCCAGTGTGTCTTCCAAAGTCTCATTCTCTTTCCTCCTTCGATTCAGTCATTATATCGCCACTTCAATTGCAGTTTGGCATTCCTCAAACACCCCTATAAGAAGCTGGGTATGGAATATACTAGTAACTGAAAAATTTAGTGCCAAAGAATTGTTTAGCTAGAACTGCTTTAGTTCCACGAGAGGAAAATGACTATCTCAAGAAAATAGTGGGAAATAAGATACCAATGAAAACACCAGAAGAGAAATTACAAATCAAGAAAAAAACAATGCACGTTAACGATGACAAAAACTTACTGAGAAGGAAAACTAAACAATAACAAAACACAGCTATGTATAGGCCAGATATCTATAGCTTAGCTGAAAGAAGTTAGGGTATTAAGGATTCCTGATAGGCAAGGATCCAGGAAGCACCATGGTGATTGCCAAACATGCTCATCATGAATAAAGAATGTTTAAAGCAACTGAAATGGAGGCCAATATGCACTGCCTAGGTCATAAAAGCAACATTTACAAAACCAACTCAACATTAGAATATATTTGTATGCTATTTATGAGGGTTACTATTCTAGCTATTTCCTGAAAATAAGTCAACTTCAAAAATTATCCTGAGACAGATAAATATAAAACATTCTACCAATCTTGAAAAAGAATTGTCAACCTCTTTTGTCAGGTATCAACAAAGCATGTACAAGGTAGATGTTTTACTCGAGTCACATGAGGTTGGATAAAAATGTGGGCAGATCATAGTTTTGACAGAAACTAGGAAAGATAATTCCAGATGGAAGGTGTACTTATAGAAAACAAAAGAAAGGTTAAATTTTTGAATAACAGAAAGGTACATGCTCATGTCAGTCTACGATGGAGGTTGTGGTCAGAGGATGGTGAAAAAGAGGTAAGAGAAGATGAAGATGGTGAGGTAGAATTCTCAGCATGATATGCAGGAGTGAATTTTGTTAAGGACAATAAATCATGATCAACTTGTATATTCTTGATTGTACTATAGAGCTTCTAGCATGCAGTACATTCTCAAATATTTATTGAATTAAAACACAGAAGTGACAGGATAAACTAATATTTGAGGAAGATTATTCTAGGAATGCAGAAAATAAGAAGAATAATTCTAAGAAAAGAAAGGAAGACCCGCTTGTCTGTCAAATACCGTCTTTTAGTTTAGACTGCTCTTTGAGGGATAAACTAATACAGACATGGCCTGAATACCATGAATTACATAGTTGTAGAATATATTTGCAAACAACCGAATAGAAATTATAATAATTATTTTATGTTATATATGTTGTAACTAAAGCAAAACCCACACTACTATTAAAGGCTTGCATTCGACAATACAAATAAATGCAGCAAGTTAAGAAGTGACCTCACAAGTATGCTGTATTCCAAAGTCTAGGGCAAAGTAAAATCATTCTCTAACAAGCATTATCCACCGACACATTAGCTTCCCCAAAGTAACTCACTTTAAGATATAATTTGCAAATCTGTTGCTGCTGAATTTGAAATCTTAATTTAGAAATCAATTTCAAAACTAACCAAAGAAGTGGTTTTAAACATCATATCTAGTCTGTGCTGTATCAGTGGAAGTAGAACTCAGAGCTGACCGAAACGTAATGGTTAGCAGATAAAAAATCTATTTAAAAGACAATAAGTCTATACAGGCATTGTGACTTTCTAGCACAGTCAGAGAAGTGAAAAGAAACTTTATCATTGGAGAACTTCACGAATCTTATCTGTGTCTTTGTCAGAAAAGCACTAAGCAAACGTTGGTTATTATCCCTCATTCAGCTTTCACAGGCCCCAGGGCTCGGTTCTTAACTCTCTCTCCCAGAATTCATCCCCTTAGTCACCTGAATCAACAACTCATAGTTGACGCCCACATTTATTTTCAGTCCTGTGATCTTAAATTACGGATAATGAATTGTCTTTACTTTCGTCTTCACTCTATACATCAAAATCTCCCCCTGAATAGAGGAATTTCCATTGAATGTTCCACCATAACCTCACGCTTCAAAATGGCTAAATCCAAAATCATAATAATAGCTCCCATAACTGAGTAACCCCAGCTAATCTTTTCTGTTTTGTGAATGGTATCATTTTGTCATGACTCCTTCCTTTTCTTTGCCCTTTTATTTTTTACCAATTTCGTGTCTCCTACACTTAACCTACTCTTTCCTACTGTCACTGTCCCCTCCCTGCAGCTCAGCCTAGGCCTTATCACTTCATGCCTAAAAACCTGAATTGTTGGTTTTCTCAATCTCACTCCATTCCTCCCTCCTGTTTTCTTTCCGCAACTCCAAGTGAAGAAGCAGAGAGGTTAATGGAAGGGAAAGTAACCTGAAAGCCATAGGGCAAGTGTCACCCAATCCAGACAAGGGGTTGAAGTGTGTACTACCTTAGGTCTGCAAAGGAAGACCAGGAGCTGCCCTATGAAGTGGGTCCAAATGGCAGAAGGGGCCAGGAAGCTACAACGTTACCCCTAAAAATACCACACACACCCTCTCCACAAAGCCCACCATCAAATGCAACCAGATGAACTACAGTAGGGCTCTCTCTTCCCTCTTTATAGAGGTTCACGTAAGGAGAACTCTGTCCCCACTGGCTAGTCTTCTGCCCCTAACTCCAAACGGGCTAGTAGAGAAAGGAGGGGGAACAGGTTTTAGAGCCAGCTTATTATACCTCTTCTCCAGTCCAAGCCGCTGGGAACTAACAGCTCCAACCTTTCTTCAAGGGAGAAGAATGTGTTTGTTTTTTGTAGCTTGTTTTTGTTTTTTAAATGATTGACTCCTGTCTTAACTTCTAGAATGTTTTCTCTAATAATCAAAAGTGGCAGAAAAGTTATGATATCAAACTAAGACATTATTAAGGGGCTGCACCTCAGAGGAAAGTGGAGGGGAGATGGGGGCATTTTACACAGTATGCTAGAAGACCCATTGAGGAAGAAAAGTAAAACCATTTCATGTTTATACCTCAGAATTGAGATTCTTCAGTAAACCAGTTGTACTGCTTTTCCAATCTTATCTCTCAAAGCATTCCTAAAATCCTAATATTTCACTCTACTCTTCTAGTCCCTGACCAGCCTATTCAAGCTTCCTCAATTTGCATATTAACATTTCCATGGCTTTGCTCTTATTCAAAACATCTTTCCCTTCAGTCTACCTAGAGCCTAATTATATTTAAAGGACTGACTCTAATGCCACATCTTCCTCCAAATTTTCCCTCACCGCAAGTACAAAAATCATCTCATGTAAATGAAAGCATACTACATTTATACCCATCAAGCACAGTCCCGGCCTTCGTGGTGACATTCTTTTAAATGATCTACTTGCAAGGAGAAGGCTCATCCTGAACTGAATCAAACTTCTTAAATCTCAAACAATTGTAAATAATAAACCTAACAAACATATTCTGTTACACTTACACTCCTTCTTGCAAATGCTGTTCAGTGGTTCTCAATGAGGATGGCACCCACTGTGTTTACATAATCTGGGGGACTGAACAGCACATTTAGAGGCTAGGAATCAGGCTGTAAGAAGACTCATGATGTGCAAGGCAGTGCAGAGCAACAAACATCTGTCTCATTGTGCTGGATATTCATCTATTTAAATAAAAAAATAAAAACCTGACTTTATAATTACCTCAGCTTAGACTCTGTTTTACTACTTTACTGTTTTACTTCTGGAAATTAAAGGCTTACTTTAACCTCAAAAGACAAGTACTTTCTATACTGTTGCTCAGTAATATGTCCATAATCTTTGAAAAAATCTTCATACAAACTGGCATCTGATAACCACTTAGCTTTCCAACTTCATTTTCTGATGCTCAAATGAATACTGACTGGAGGCAAAAGGAAAAGGAGAGGGGTTAATGAAGATCTATGTGTATGTATGTAACAAAACCATCACCAAAGATTGAATAACTACGTAAGAACGGAAGGGGAAGGGGAGCCACAATGCGCTTGGCTACGTCCATGATTAACCAGGTGAAAAACAGTCAGCTGAGTCCTCGTGCAGGCATCCAGGGGACAGAGCTGATGTAGGCCAATTTGGTTGCTGTCCAAGTTTTTTAGAGGAGGGGTTGGGGGGATGGGGGTTGCCATCAGAGTTACTGCGGATGAAATAGTCTAGAAGCAGATTGAAGAGGCTGTAGTAAAACTAGACACTTGTTTACAATATTGTTTTAATTGTTTGTATAAATTAAATTCATACTCATATATAGATACAGTGATTACAATTATAGATTATAATATATGTTGCTTTTTTGAGGTAAAAAAATAACACGGATTATTTGACTTTTAGTAACTGTTAACTCATTAGGAGAAAATGCTGTATTTAAAACTTTAGCACAGATACAAAATTCCTCTTAATTCAGCACTTTTTTCCCCCAAGAGTTATTTTTGTTTCTGACACAATACTACAGGACCAATTCACACTTCAAAATTATTTCAGTGGAGTGAGAACTGGTTTCGCTCTTACTGGAGCTCATCAGCTGTAGGCAACTGGTCAAGAAACATTTGTTATTTGCCTTAAAGCAACCATTATCTTAACGAAATAACTTCCATTTCTACAAAATCATTTCCAAACAAGAGCCATATAAATAAAAACACTATTAACAGCTTTTAGTACTATTTCTTGTTTTCCCAGTAAATTAGCAGTATAAAAAACAAAAAACTTGAAACACTTATTCAATAAATTGCAAATACAAATGAATCCAATCCACAGGTATTTGGTAACAGGTTATCAAACAAGCTTTATACAAAAGTACCAAGTCAGAAATACATTTCCAAACCAGATATTCATT